GGCAAGGCAGTTGGATGACACACACTTCCTTGATCTATTTCAAACTGGCTTCAGTTCAGAATATGGAGTTGAGACTGCTATAGACAGCTTAATGGGTGATCTCTGTCTCAACACCGACAGGGGAAATGTGTCCCTGTTGCTGCTTCTAGACCTTTCAGTGGCCTTCAATACCATCAACCATGGTATCCTTCTAAAATGCCTGGAGGGACGGAGAATCTGCGGTACTGTGTTGGAGTGGTTCCTGTTGTACCTCTTAGGCAGGTTCCAGATGGTGTTGCTTGGGGATAGCAGCTCCTCAAAAAAGGAGCTGTTACATGGTATCCCACAAGGTGCCATTCTATCCCCAATGTTCTTTAATAATTACACGAAGCCGCTGGGAGAGATCATCTGTAGGCATGGGGCAGGATGTTATCAGTATTCTGATAACACCTAAATATATTTCTCCATGCCTTCAAAAACAGCTTCAGTTAAGGATAGTGTGACTCCTCTGTAATGGGCTGGATGATAGAAAACAAATTGAAACTGAATCCAGATAAAACGTTCTAAACATTCAAATCGCATTCAAAGCATTGTTTGTTGGGGGTGCTTTGAATGTGATTGTTCTGCTTCTTGGCAGAGGGTTGGACTGGATGGCCCAAGAGGTCTCTTCCAACTCTATGATTCTATGAAAACAGGTGCTTGCCAACAAGGGTCCTAATCTTAGACTGATGATATGTCATCCCATCCTGGATGGGGTTACACTTCCCCTGAAAGACTGTGTTTACAGCTTGAGAGTGCCCCTGGATCTGTCTCTCCAGCCCAGGTAGATGCAATGGTCAGGAGTGCTTACTACCAGCTTTGGTTGATATGCCATCTGTGCCCCTTCCTAGATTTGGAGGCCCTTACATTGATAGTGTACACGCTGGTAACCTCAAGGTCAGACTTCTGCAATGCTCTGTACATTGGACTACCCTTATACCAAGTTTGGAAGCTCAAGTTGGTTCAAAATATGGCAGCCAGATTTGTTACAGGCACATCTAGAAATGAGCATATTACACCTATCCTAAAGTCATTCCACTGACTGCTAGTTAGTTTCCGGGCGAAGTACAAAACCTATGTGGTTTGGGCCCAGGTTGCCTACAGAATTATCTTATTCTATACAATCTGCCCTGAACACTTAGATCCTCTGGGGGCATCTGCTCCAGCCTGCCAGAACCCGACTGGCAACCACCACCCAGAGGACCTTTTCATCATCCACCCCATGACTGTGGAACGACCTGCTGTTAGAGCTCCAACAGCTAGATCAGTTTCAGGAATTTAAAACATGAGTGAAGACCAATCTCTTCAGGCAGGCCTACCCAGATAGTTTTAATTTAAAAGAATTTTTTAAAAAAACTACTTCATGTGTTACTAGCCATGACACATGACAAAATGTTGTTATCATTTTTATTGATAGTACATATCCACTTTAGGAGGTTCCCCCTCCCTACTGATATCTACAGCTATCTCTTGCAGTAGGTTTGCTGAGAGGTAGTGACAGTCAAAGGTAACATAGCAAATTCAAGCAAACATCTGAACTTGGCTCTCACTCTTTCAAACGTGTGTCTATATAGCAGTGTTCATGCAGTTTAACACCACTTTAAATGCTATTGGACAGTGCCATGGAATCAAGGGGCATTTTACATGGTTTTTGGCTGTCTCTGCCAAAAAGTGCCTTGTGCCTTACTAAATTACAACTTCCAGGATTGCATAGGATTGAGTCATAGTAGTTAAAGTGGTGTCAAACAGAATGAATTCCACAATGTAGATGCACTCAAAATCACTACTTCATTACTATACATTGGTTTTCTTAGATAAGCTGTTATTATACAAATGGTAGCAAGACTAATGCACAGAGGTAGGAAAAATGCAACACTTAATACGCAGAATTTTTATAAATACAGTGCAAAGTAGACTGTGTACAATTTTAATATTTGCATAATATATGTAGGTTGCATATATATTTCATAATATGCAAATTGCCTAAATTGAAGAGATTAGAATAAAGCAAACCTAATACGACCATATTTATCATGCAGGAGCTCATTTTTAGAATGGGCTTTTTAAACAGGCTTTTCAAATCAAAGCGCGGCCATAATTACTTTTTAACGTGTTACCTGCCACTCAGGATATAGTGTCCAATATTAGAACATATTCCTTTCATCACTATGTAAAAGGCAGGCCATTTTTAAGAGCTGTTTCAAAATATGTTTAGAGTTAAAGAATAAAATTGAATATTCAAAAACACAGCACTTCTGAAAAATAGTTGTTACTCTCTTTTTTTAAAAAAAGCTCTTGATCTTTAACAGGAACATATGAAGGAAGAATACTGTGGTCATTATGATGGTGGCAATAGGTCTATGTAATACATTTGGCTCAGGTAAATAGATAAGCTTGCTATAGTTTTTCTCCCTCGTGTAAGCTAAGTAATGAAATTTTAAATTATCTATAGTTTTTCTATCTGTCATTTTAAAAATAAATCCATCATTTTGTCAAGTGGCCATGAAACGCTTCATTATCCTGTCTAGGAAGTGTTCCGTACCACAAAAAGTGCCATTTGTTAGATTGACACTTTAATAGAAATTAATAGTGATTGCTGATGATTACTGTACTTACTTTCAACACTTATATATGGAGTTTTATTTTAGATTCTTAAAGCACTTTATATGTGTTAATTTACAGTTTTCACTCCGAATGCAAGAAAAAGAATTTTGTGCCTTGTACTGAAATGAGCATGAGCATTTTTACTACTTGCAAACATTATTGTTTTAATTATTTTATTAAAGAATTTATAATGAGATGTAATAAACAAATACATTGCAATAGTTAAGCATGTGCTTTGCAGCGAGTTAAGCCCCATCTGGAAGCGCCCTAGAAGATGTGAAAGTGGTAATCTGACACATTTGAAACCAATTCAGCTTTCTTATTCAAATTGTTACATTTCTACAGTCATAAACTTCCCCTTTCTGAGTAAATCTGTAATATGATAGACCCCACTTTTCCATTCTTTAAATTGTGTAAATCTGTCAGTCATTTGGAAACATGTGTAAAGAAGAAAAATCCTTGGAGGGTATCATTGTCCGGGGGGGGGGGAGGGTATATGTTCTCCCATTTTATCCAGATAAGAACCCCCGGTGGTGCATTGGGTTAAACCCTTGTGCCGGCAGGACTGACGACCAACAGGTCAGAGGTTCGAATCTGGGGAGAGGGCAGGTAAGCTTCCTCCATCAGCTCCATCAGTTCCCCATGCGGGAACATGAGAATAGCCTCCCACAAGGATGGTAAAACATCAAAACATCTGGGCATCCCCTGGGCAACATCCTTGCAGATGGCCAATTCTCTCACTCCAGAAGCGACTTGCAGTTTCTCAAGTCTCTCCTGACACGAAAAAAATCCAAATATTTAATGATCTGAACAAAAATGGCCTTTAGCTACTTTCTTAAAATTTAGGAGAAAGCTAGCTCTACTGATTATTTACTTCTCACTTTACTCCTCTAGTGATGAGTGCTTCTTCAAGCAGCTAATTAAATTGGACAAATGTAAATGCTTGAAAACAGTCTGATATCAGATATTGTTGGCCATCCATTCTTAATGGATGTAATGGATGGGTTTTGGAAATCTGTGTCTCCTCCTATTAAAAATAAAAATATTAATTATTGTCACAGGAGTGTACCTACATGAGATAAATTGTCTTTTGTGATTGTTTTGCCCTGATGGAGTTGGACATTAATGAGGAACTGCCAGTGTTTTTGTTGTGCAAAAATATTTAGGCATGGGAGTTCTGTAAATAAATTTTGAGATTTTAGTAAACCCCAAAGTTTTCTTTTTGCCTGATTTAGAGTTGAAAAGGAGGTCTCAGAATTTCAAAGACAGATCAAAATGTGTGTTGTACAAGTCTGATATCATTAGGTTACATCGATTAGGTTAGCCAGAGGCACAATTGGTGAGGCGAACAAGAGAGGTGATAGTGTGCAACCTTGCTTAATGCTTCTCAGAATTTTAATTGGTGCAGAATTTATCCCATTAAAATTGTTACTTCTGAGTGACAGCATAGTTGCCAATGCATTACTAAGACCTTAATGGTCAAAAGTTCATTTCCTGAAGTACACCAAAAAGATAATGTCATTTTACCATGACAGAGGCAGGCCTTCATTGTGTTTAGATATAAAAGTCTTAAGGAGGTATTTGACAGGTTACAGAGATGTATGAAATTCAGAGCCCTATGAATGGGGTCTGTTAAATGATGTTATGGCATGAACCTTACTTTGTCAGGGTCTATATACTTTAGTTGCTTTGAATATTTAGCTATATGTGCCCTTTGAAAAGCAAACAACTCTCATATTTTCAAGTGAAAAGAAACCTATGGTATTCCAGTCTTCTCTTCTAAAATTCATCAGCCAGCCACAAAGGGAAAAGACAAGAGACAGCCAATGCAATTTGATTTGTACTAACTATAACTTCCAAATCTTCTTCAGTGACTGCCATGTGTAAATGTCCTATAAACCCAGCCAGGAGTTTAGCACTGAATGGCTAGATTTGTTGTATCGATGCATCATATGACTATCCTGTGTATTAGGAACGCATTCTGGATTCACAACTGTTTAACCAAATAAATGTTGCACAGTTATTTAACCAAAAGGTTTTAAGGTTAAGGTGACATGGCTAATATTGATGTTTTTATGTGGGACTGTTGTTCTCATTTTATACAATAGCTAGGATATGGCTACAGTGACTACAGTGATGTGTTGAAACCACCTCCATCAGTTAGACCAGAAGATGAGAAGCACAGAGACTTTGCTATTATCCCTGGACAATCAACAAAATTAGATGCTGCTAATGAAGTCATTACATTAATCTAAGCACATTTTAATGTATTGGATGGACACTTATGTCTTTTTTCATTAAACAAGTCCATTAACTAAGAAGCTATTGCATGAAATCCTAGGCCTTTGCTAATCCTTAATGCATTTTTCTATTAACAGATACAGAAGTGGTGTATAAAAACAGACATGGACATGTCGTTAAACTGAATGTAGAAAGAAATACAACTACATTATTGCTGGAAAATGCAACTTTTGTAAGTATACTTTCATTATGATTAATATTGGCATACATTGCTGAGGATTTTTTCAGTATCTTCATTAAACATTTTATCCTAACACAGAAAGCCACTTATGTAAATGCATTCTGACCAGAGAGTCTCACTCCACCAACTAGAGGGTTTTCTTTTTTTAACAAGGACTGCTTACTATTCCTGCAAAACTACTTCTCCTTTGTTGCAGACCATTTTAGATTTTGGGGTAGGGGTGCAGTACTGTTAGCTCTGCCGAACCTCTCAACAATAGTCAGTATATCCATCAAGTTTTTCCTTTGGGCTACTTTGTTATATAGAACATGGATATTCTGCAATAATTTAGGTGAATCTTCCAAAAAAGGTGAAGTTGTGGGACTTTTTTTCACTCTCTACATTGAGCTACTGAGGGAGATGACACCTGGAGCTATGAGGCAGATTATCAGCATTTGCTCTTTTTTTCAGCTCATGTCAAATGTCACTGTCTGGAAACCCACTCTAAGTTTGGGACTATAACCTATTTTGAGCAGTGTTAGATTCTCCATGAAGGAGCAGGTTCACAGCTTGGAGTGCACTGGGATCCAGTATTGTTCCTGGAAATCCATATGGCTTCTATGGTTATAAGTACATTTGGACAGTTTCAGTTGGTACATCAAAACATTAAGAGAAATTGATTTGGCCAAAACATCCTAGAGAAATGGATTTGACCATAGCTATTTATGCATTGAACACTTTCCAATTACAATATTATAATGCGCTTTATATGGGGGTGGGCTTTGAAAAATGTTCAAAAGCTACAGATAGTGCAAAGTGTAAAAGCTAGACTTCTGCCTGGTGTGTATTTTAGAAAGTATATACGAAGTGTCTTCTCCCAACAGAACTAACTTTTAGTTTGCTTCTGAACATAATCCTGGGTGTTGACTTTGATTAGCTGAACCTAGATGGGTTGAGGTCAGAATAACATAAAAAATTACCCCCTCCCATATGTATCTGCTCAGAATTTGAGATCTTCAGCAGAATCCCTTTTGTTCCTACACCACAAGAACCTAGGTTGGTGAGAGCGTGAAATAGCACTTTCTCAATAGTAGTACCTTGATTGTGGAAGTTAAGTAGTGCTTTCTCTTTTAAATTTCCAGCAGACAACTAAGACAGGTGTGTTTTGTATGACATTTAGATGCTGAAACCTGGGTTGGTGTTTGAGACTATTTTAACTACATTTGTATTTGAAAACTCAGCTACTAGGACTTTCATTTGGCCACATGAGACCTAACCCAGGAGGTGATTGTAAAAAAAACAAAACAGTTTTCTTCCTCAGAACCTTTATACTTGAAAGCTGTTTTAACTTGTATTATGATATAATGATGGAGTGAAAACCTGAGAAGTAATTGCAGAGGTGACACATGGTTGCTTGCATTATTTATGGCAGGAACATGGTATCATCAACGACATTAAAAGTGTTAGCGAAATTCCCCCCGAAATAACAAGCATTTAAAAGATAAAGCACAGCAGAGCATTCACGCACACAGCAGGAGGCAACGGTGTGGCAGAAGGAAAACTGAACTTAAAAACAATGAGCAGCAGAGTCAACCTTGAAATATCAAAGGTTTACTAAAAACATAAAGAACTAGGTTTTCTAGATAGAAATCTGAGATCTAAACTATCTAACTAAGTCTATGTAGACTGCAGTGGTTATCAATCTGTGGGTCCCCAGGTGTATTGGCCTTCAACTCCCAAAAATCCTAACAGCTGGTAAACTGGCTGGGATTTCTGGGGACCCACAGTTTGAGAACCACTGATGTAGAGATTTGGCATGATTTCCACTTCCATCTAAGATCAAACAAAGGAAAGACTCAAAGGTTACATTCTTCATTCAGCTCTCATACACAGCGGTTAGAAGAGTGGAGAGTGAGAGAACTCTGGCCATAAGGTCTGAGGAACTAATACAAAAGGGCATGCAACCTGAGACATATCAGCCTGCATCATTGAGATGGAAAGAGGGAAAAGAGAGAAAGACAGAGATAAAGAGCATTCAGGGAGTATAACGGAAGAAGGAGTTCCCTGTCCTAGCCTCTTCCCTGTCTATTTCCTTGATAAAACTATAAACTTGTGCAGAATGTGGTTGAACCAACAATAAATTGTTAGAAAACCAATATTAACTGCAGATTCTTTATAACATGAATAAAGTTTTGAATTGAGCATGAAAGAAACACAACTCTAATAACGTGTTACTTTAACAAAGATGTCTGGCAAAAGTGGATAATGTGACTCATGGTCCATTTTTGTCTATAAAACAGATAATCAGTCCTTTTTTCAGTCACAAAACTTTGGGGGTTAGCATACAATTGGTTAGGCTTATGTTAGTGGCCCAAACATGGGAATGTGAGCAGCTTAGCCTATCATCAGCTTCATTCTATTTTGATCTATAGATCTTGTCTTAAACATCTGGAACCAAAATAAATGTGTGTTACAATTTACCTATTGTAACACACAATAGTAATTGTATTGTTTTTATTTTATTTGCATCATGATAGTTATTCTAGTTTTATCTTAGCCTCACCAACAGTAGGAACCACTTGAAGACACACAATCACAACAATGGATAGCATCAGCAAAGGAGTTCCGGATCAAGGAGTTTATGGGTTTTACCTTGTATCCCAACATGGAGAACTGCAATAAATAAATTAAAAGATGGACATAGTGACGGATTATTTTTGTGCTTTGTTCTGAATGTACACAGTCTACTTACACTGAGTTGGATCCTAAGAACTGTTAGGGTAAAGAGTTGCATTGAAGATTAATTTCCTGCCAGTTCTGTCACTTGCACAGCCTAGATGAGACTCTTTAGAATATGCTATGAAAGACGATTGTAGAGGAAAAACAGTGAGACTCTATCTGTTTTGACAAGTTGTTTCTTCTCCTTCAGCTTCTTGTATCACACCCCCTGGACCTAGGAGGATCTTATGAGGGAATATAGGCTGTAGTGGAGGAAAGATGCATGAAACATCTCTTCCATGAGCTTCTTCTTGGCATCAGATCTCAAGATTCAACCCAATATTTTTTATAATACTGTACTGTTAAAAGAAGTGGTCCTTTTGTGGAATATGGTTACTTCAACATTCCTGACCTTGTGAATTCTGCTTAAAATAGTTTTTAGGCTTGAACTTCAACTTTAGAAAAAGTGGGATGGGCACAGAAGTATCTAGAACACCCACAACATTAGCTGACTATTTAAGACTGAGTGTGGTCATTCATTAATACAAAGTCTGGATTAACCGATGGAAACCTTTTAGAATAAAGAACCACAATCTTTCTACAGTTCCTAGTTACATTGCCAGCAAGTGTGGGGTCATTTGAAAGGTAGTACAACTAAATATATGTGTGATAATAATAGGCTTAGATTGAATCCACTGATTTCTCTCCCTCGGGCTACTGGTCTACTTCTGTCAGCTATTCTGACAGTCTTCTACAGTATCAGCTGTTAGTGAGGCTGTACTAACTGCTTGTTCCTTCCATGATGCTGAGTGAAGGGAAGAATTCCTTTCTAACAGACAAGTTCTCAGGCCTGACTGCCGAAGAGATTATTATAGAGGTGAGAACAATTAGTAAGAAAGAGAAGAACATTGATTATCCAAGACTAGGTATCCAGGAAGGAACAGGTAGATATATTTGTAAAATATTAAAATGGGGTTTATTGTTGCAGTTCAGTGTTAAAGTCTGGGAATAAGTATGAAAAATTGGGTGTACTATAGTAATGAAAATTTCAAAAATGTACTAGTTCAAATTTGTCAAAAAATATTGCAATTAGCCAAATGTTGCTTATTTGTTCAGTCACTTCCAACTCTTCATGACCTCATGGACCAGCCAAACTCCTACTCTAATTATATAACATTAATGCAAGACTATGATAATATAATCTAATTTGATGTTCCCCTTGAAAAAAACATTTACCCTATTTATTCAAATCTAATGTTCACCTTCTTTGGCTCAATTACCTTGCTGAAATTAGGGTCACATTGGATTCGCATCATACAGTAATCTTAGGGCACTTCTGGACAGGCCCTATATCTCAGGATCTGATCCTTGGTTTTCTGTTTATCCCAGATTATTTGGCAGTGTGGACTCATATAATCAAATTTAAAGCAGAAAACCTGGGATATAGGGCCTGTCTGGAAGGCCCATGATGCTGAGCCAAAGCAAAGGGGGAGGCTGTTTCAGGAGCTGCACCTGAGCTCCTCTTTCAGGGATGTCCCCTCTAATTTAATGCTATGTGTAGTGAAATCTACCCTTAAGGCGTCCAGGCCGAAGCCTGAAAGTCAGTGACTGTCATCTTGAAAGACAGGCAGAAGCAGGAGGAGGAGTCAAGCCGACTCCTGATTGGTCAGAACAATTAGGGGAGGAGTCGGTTGAGAGAGGGAAAGAGGCTGTCAGCTTTTGACAAGGGGGAGAAGTGTCTTGACATCAGACACAGAAGGAAGGGATTTTTAGGAGAGGAAGCTAAATAGGAGTCTGACAGGGAAAGAAAGCTTTAAAGTGAGCCTTAAGGATAGGGAATAAGTAGCAGACAAGGGCTAGGGTTACTGTATTGAGAGGATCAGTAACAGAAAGACTTGTCTTCTTAGACTTAGGGGAAGTTTAAGAGAGCTTATTGCCCTGTGTGTGAGACAGATAGGAGTCTGTTCTCTAAGTGATACTGTTTCTAGGAATAGAGCAGTGTGTTTAAGGAAACTCACAGTTTTAAAAGCTTTATTGTTGGTGAAACTCCTGATTTAAATATACTAAGCCTCTACAACTGAATCAAGTTTCTGTACCGCTCATTCTATGAGTAGATATTTGCTTAAAGTCCAATAAATTTTTTCTAGTTCATTTTTAACTGGTGTCAGCTTCAGTCTGTCAATCTCCTCAGAACTAAGTCAAGTCAATAATAAAAATCTCTTTAAAGTCCAGTCAGCCAGCGAAGAAGCAATAGAAGAACTAAGGGCAAACACACCTTACATACAACACATTCA